TACAAACTCTATTTATTTATTTATTTATTTTTTTTTACACTCAGTGTACTTTTAACAGTCAAGTATGTTCCTGCTTGCAATATACCTATCTATAACAAAAAAAATCCCACCAAAACCACCAAACAACTCGCAACTTGAGAAGAGTCAGTTTTTCCCCCATTAAGACTTCTTGATTCTTCACCAGGGCTTCCTGACATTTGATTCAAGAAGCAGAAGCATCTGTCCACCCCATCTGTACATAAGTATAGCATATGAGGTCCAATACACAGCTTGTAAAGAAATGCTGTTTTCACCACAGTAAACAGAGACAAGACCTCCTCCAGATGAGCTTATCTTTCTTCCCTTGAGAGCTGAAGCCTAGCAAAGCTAGCCAACAAAATTAGATACTTGGGTTGTATAAACAGTCCCTTAGATTCAATTTCATTTAGCTCACGCCCATGAAAATCCAGCTCTGAGGTGATGTGTGTAAGCAGATCCAAGTTAGCCTATTATAAGATTGTTTAAAGTCTGTGCAGCCTACACACACTACTTTTTAGTATGCAAAACCCAGTAAATATTCACTTTTGAGTAAAAGCAACTTTATCACACCGTACAGCAAAGTGATGCTAGTCTCCTCTCTTCCCTCTCCTTGTGTTCTACATGTGTGTAACAAAACACCAAGTCTTACAAATCCCCAAAAGACCGATGCGTCCAACTTAAACTTAGAGAGAAAAATAATTTCACTGAAACTGGACTTGAAGATGTAGCAGAGTTTGTGTAATGTGGGAACAGAAACATATTCAAGTAGTCTGTTCTCCCAATCAAAACAAACAGCTATTAATGTGACTTTGAATATGCACACTGACCTCCCAATCTAAACCACATCTCTGTCAATGTTGCTTAATAATATGAAATAGCAAGTATTTGCCTCAGCTTCTTTAATAAACTAGCTAACAAAAAACAGTTCATCCCGATGAGGCTCTATGATAAAAATATAGCAACTGAAAGCACCGGTGTTTGTCACTTTTATGGCCCACAGCTCTGATTAAAAAAAATAAGTAGTTGCTTACTGAATTTGCAGAATGTATACTTAGACTGTGGAGTCACTACTGTTTGCACAATAGCCTACCCTAATCTGCAGATGGCCAGCATTTTAACAGGACAGCCTTTTTCAAAGTTATTGTTATTATTTGAAATAGTTTACATGATAAACCATTTGTAGCAGTGGAACAAGATTATTTCACTTTTATCCCACTGATCTGCACAGACTGGAAATCAAAGTTTTCAGCTACTTCCAGATTCAGACCTAATACTTGGTCCCAGGCAGCACAGCAGTTTTACTTACTTTACAATGCTCAGTTAAAACCTCTTCCCAGTACCATTTTTTCCCCTCAAAACTGACAGGATCAGTTTTTGGCTGGCATCAAGTGAATCACTTTTCCCTTTGTTCCACTGTGGCAGAGTATCTGCAGCTCTATGACTTTTTCAGACCCCATATCACAAGGAGTGTATGAAACACAGCTCTTCATCAGTCTCCATACTGAAGATCATATTTCAGCTGCATAATAAACAGTGTCTCTGGATGACATAATGGGGCCTTCATGCATGATACGGCTAAACTGAAAAAAAATAAGATACATCATTATCTGCCCTTGTCTGGACATAGAGGAAATTTGTCTCAGAAAATAAGGAAACTGTATAAATAAACCAAAAATCAATGGAAAAAGTTTTCAAAATAACTTAAAAGTAAAAAAAAAAAAAATAAAAAAAATCTTTTTAACCCTTATGATGATTTCTAGTTAACATATGCAATTTTTACAATAGCTCCTGTCCAGTGCAGAAAGTCAGGCTACATGAGGGGATCACAACAGTCCATTTAGGATGGGATATCCATGAAATATTAACATCATCAACATTTGATATTATGCAGCATTTAAAGGCTTCTGAAGCACAAATAATAACTGATTTCAGCCTGGAAGGTTTTATCAAAAGGTCCCCAGCTTCAAAATCAATGGCTATTTTAACTCCTCAATTTATACCTGTAACAGCAGAAAGTTTACATATGCAGTACTTAAGTTTCAGAACATCTAAGAATTTGCTGCTCATACCATTTTCAATTTTTGGGGTAGTCAGAAATTCCTTAATAAGCAACTACAGCAATGAATCCCACAAGTCTGTATGAATCGACAATTTTGATATACACAAAACCAACATATTGCATGCTAACAACTTCAAGATGACCCAGCTGCTTAAAATTCTATGTACTCTTAGGTCTAACATCACTTTAGCCCATCATTCACTTGTTTCCTAGAAGGAATTAGTAAAAATGTAAGGTTTTTTGTTCCTACTGGTTCTATGTGAAAAACACATACGCAGCCCAACATTAATCTTTTCTTCATTTACATTAGCTGCCTAGCTACCCTTGCTTCCACTGGCTAGCAATCCTTTTATGAAACAGCTGCTATTAGTGAAAAAGGCCCAAACTGGCAGCACACTCAGACCACTGGGAATAAAGAGCATTGTAAGGAGATATTTCCACAACTCACAGTCAATACCCTCCGATTCATTTCACTTAGCTTTTTCAAGACCCTACCTTAAAGCTTCCAATGAGGATTATACTTCTAAAGCCTCAGCATCAGAAAGTCTGGCTTTTCTCTGGATTTTTCCCATGGAGAACTTCCTGTTACTCTAGACCAATCCATCCTTTTTAAAACATTTTTCCTCGTCTTTTATTGCTGCTGAATCTGACTCAAAAGGGGCCAATCTGCTCCAGCTACATCATCAGGAGAGTTCTGCACTTTCACACAGCTGCTGAGGTTTCTGTCCCCCTGCAGAAGATGGAATTGCTCCACCCACCCCCTTTGCACAGAAATGATGTAAAAGGAACCAGTGGATCCCAAAAACCTTTTGCATGATCATTTCTACACTGACTATTTCTATAATGTAAACTCTCCTTTTTTCACATTTTGCAGGGTCTTAATTTGTTCCCTTAATAAAATGCACCATAGAACTTGAGCATGCAGTTTTCCAATGGGAAAAAAAAAAACCCACAACCTTATCAAATACACTAATCTTACTACAAATTCCATGAAGCAGTTCAAAAAGCCTGGAAGGGTGATCGTTTCTGTTAAATTCTATCAACGTGCTGAAGCAGTTACTTCAGGACTCTTTAATACTTCCTTAGAATTTATATTTAATTTACATAAAATTAACATCCTTTAAATTCTGTAAAGACTGAAAAGCAACTACCTGCAAGTATGCTTTAGATCACATATAACAAAACACATTGAATATTATGTTTAACAGTGTGCATACCACTGTCAACCTGTAACATGCTCTGAAAATGGATTCTCTCTGACAATTTAGATGCACCAGCTTGACCTGAATCCACGTAGACTGTATATTCCAAAATACCTACAGCCACCTGACTCCTGCTACTCATTCAAGGCTATTTTCAGGTCACAGGAACTTACCAAACTGTATTTGCATCTCTGCTTTGCCAGAGAGTCTTGTCCAGGTAAAGATAAACTTAGTTTTGAGCAGGAAGTTTTCTTTGGTTATGAGCATTTCTTTTTTTATAAATGAGCTTAAGTAAAATAAGATCAATTTGAATTTACTAAAAAAAAAATTAAAAAAATATAATAATAAAAATCACAGACTGGCAGGGGTTGGAAGGGACCTCTGGAGATCACCTAGTCCAGCCCCCTGCCAAAGGACTTTCACCTACAGCAGGTTGCACAGAAACACATTCAGGCGGGTTTTGAATGTCTCCAGAGAAGGAGACTCTACCACCTCTCTGGGCAGCCTGTTCCAGGGCTCTGCCACCCTCAAATGCACAAAGGTTCTGGATTGTTTCAGTTAAGCTACAATGGAACTATAAATAAAATTAAGTTTAAATGGCATACTTTCTACCTGCATATGAACACCAGCCATGGAAACCAGCTGGACTTGCTAACAGTTCCTAAATTCAGTTTCTGGGTAGAAGCTGGCAAGGTGTTTACAGCGGAAGTTACTGTACCATGGAACGTGTTTTTCTACCCATTCACAGTTGATTTTGGGGGCAAGTTGTGTCTCATCTCTTCATGCGGCATTAAGAAGTCTGTTCTTGCACACGGTACTTCTTTACAGTATCTCTGAAGGACAAAGGCGAAGAATCTATTTTTATTGATAACAAATATGAAATTTTCAGTCACAGAAATGAATTACAACTGAACAGTAGACATCAGTTTCCTTACCAAATGTAATACATGCATTTTAGCTCATTTGACCTTGGCAAACCTAAAAAATTAATCCTTTAGTAATCGAGAAAGAAAAGATAGTAACATATTACAACAGAACAAAAAGTGAGTATACCTCAAACTCTTATTTTAGCTATAATAATGCACACAAACTAATACAAAGGAAGTTGATGAAAAAGACTTGAAATCAAGTTTGGGCAATTTGTTCAGTCGAGAATTATGCTCATTAAATGTTGATACACTGAGTACTGTGATAGCATTGATGTGAAAAAGTGTTCCATAATCTCACAAATTAAATGATAATAATAAATCATCAAGTTCAGGGTGTAAAAATAATTTATTAGCTTTTGCTCATAAAAAGAATCAGCTACTATTCTTGATATTTTTTAAACAGCAACAATCAAAAAGTTGACAACTGAAAAGTGTTCAGTAAAAAAAAAAAATAAGGCAAGCAGAGTCTAAATTTGTTCTTTTAAATTCAATCTTGTAGCACTACAGAAGCAAGGGTAGCAGAAAAAAACAAACAAGAATTTAGTAAAACACGACAATCACCAAGTAACTCCTATGCTATCTCATCATTTTAGCCGAGGAAGCATTGTTAAAGCAGTATGCAAGTAAACTTTCATTTCAAAACTGTCAAGAGTTAATGAAGATTTAAAAGCATCCCTTTGGGGAGGGGTGAAGTATGCCATAGCGATGGTAATTTTATATCCTATTGTTTTAAGTTTGTAAAACACCATAGAATACTGAAACCAAAAGCTGGCAAGACAACAAGCCTTGACTCTACTGTTTTTGATCAGTGATCCGCTGCAAGCAGAGTTTCATGTAGGAATTTTTATTGCGTATTTCTATCACTGCATCTCTGACAAGCTCAATGAACATTTGAGGCCAGAGCTTCTGCAACGACTCATTTTTCATATTGATGTCAGCTGCTTCTTTCACTAAGTTCTCGACGTATGTCTGGCAAAATGTTTTTCTTTCCTTGATTTCCTGCATGGGAGAGCCATTACACATTGTATAAGACAAAGGAAAAGAAGATTAAACAAGAGTAAACCCAAAAAACCACCACAAAAATTTAATGAATTAAAGAACATAGCAATTAGCAGGCGAAGAGGCCATTGGTGAAGCTGGATTGCTTTTAAGTTGCATGGTCCAACGTCTGAGTCAAGCTTTTATGAGTGGGGCCACAGAATTTTACTGTATTCATAATATTCATATTATATTCATCAATTAATTTATCTGAACTCCACTTTTAAGTAGCCATGTAAATATCTTTTAAACAGCATTACAATTTTTGTTGCCTTATGGCATAGCAGTAAAAATTTACAGAAATTATCCAGCACCAGCCTACTTCCCTTCCTTCTCTCCCTTCCCTTGCCAGCTTTTCATGATTACAGTACAACAGGTGGAAAGTATATGTTTATCTACCTGCCCTAACAAGAACTAAGCATATTGTCACAGAAAAATATGCCAGTATATGCCAGGTTCCTGATGGTCTCTGGCAAGTGCATGGTTACTAACATGTACTACATTAGACAGTGACATAAACTGAACTTTATAAAAAAAAAAAATTCCACTTTGTGCAGCTACTAGCTCCACATCTTAGTCACTCAAACTGTATTAATCCCTGTTTCTGCAAAGTTTCTACAAAACGCCACAATAAGCTTTGAACAGTAAGTTATACCAGTGCTAAACATCTAACTAGTTTGATTTATGGTATTGTTAAAAATGTTAGGTCACGCTTCAGGCCACCAAAACAGAAGTTTTCTTAAATGAGTGATAAAGCAGAGCAAATACTTTCCATCTGTTTCATCTAAAAAACCCAAATTATTAATCAATGACTCAGACTGTCATCTTTAGCAATAAACTTATTCAATCCCATTTATTATGTGAGTTTAGTGCTGATGGGGAACTGGAATCAGTCTTTTTTGCCTGTATTACTCTTCTTTTGTGACATCCTGTAACATCTGCTGCCACGAACATAATGCTATAACAAAGGACAGGGTGTGAATTGCTGCACTGGGAAGAGAAAACAATGCATATATTGAAATGGACCGTACAAATTCCAAGCTTATTTTATTACAGTGTTCCATGGTAAAGGACAAGAGGAATGCCTCACTGCCTTACTCTATGCCATTCAAAGTTTTAAGAGCTACTATCACAGCTTTTGAAACTAAATCGTTTTCTTAATTTAATCTCTCTGCTCAGGCAGTCACTGTCTCTTTTTTTAGGCTATGGATCTGACATAACAAAATCACAATGCAATCACTGAATTCATGAAACTTAATTTCTTGCGCTAGAGGATTCATATATTTCCACACAATCAAAAAGCAAAGAACAGGACAAACATGGAAAGCAGGGTGCATACAGCTAGAACCCATGATGATGGCTCAGAAAGGAGACTGTGGCTGAAAGAAGCATGTTCTCCCTGGGAACAATGTCCTTCTGCCCAAGCAAAAGAGTTAGCAGATCAGAAACACAAAACTAAAATAAGCGTGACTGATGCACTTGTCTGAACCAAGCCAGCTTGCAATTTTATTATTAATTAACCCTAAAACATTTCCTATATACTTATTTTCCTGGAGCTTATTTAGAAGATAGGAAACAGCTCTGTATTACTACATACTGCACGATCCCAAATCTTGTCTGAAGGTTTTTCTTCACCAATTAATTTTGGGACATACTTTGTGACTTTCTAATTCCATTAGAAAATCCTAACATGTGCAATACATATTTTCTTTTTAAAATACTGTGCTCACTTCTTGTATTTTACTAGTGCAGGGACATTCCAGTATGAATATAAGGCTTTTAGGCGAGACTGTATTTCTGAGACTGTGGCACTGTTCAGGAACCACTTCACTGTAGTCAGAAACTGACCATTATCCAGTATTCTGGCAAAAATCAGTTAGATGAAATGTTTGATCATACATGTAAATACGGTAAGCAGTGATATATTAAACCCACCACTCTCAATAGCAAAACTGAAACTTGATATGTAGACAAATGCCATGAGGAGTAATCTAAGGTTATATACGAGGATGAAAGTATTTTGTAACGATATACTTACCTCAAGCTTTTCCATATGCAAGTCCTTTGTCATGTAATTCAACGTTGCTCGAGTTGTGCCTTCCCCTCCATTTCTTCTGTTATCGCTACTTTCCTCACTCCCAATCCCAGATTTCTTTCCCTTTCCCTCCAGCAAATAATGGAATTGCTTCCTCCTGTGAAAGGATAATGAAGATATTTACAGTTTCAATCATTGGAAACCTTTTTTTTTTTTAAGCACAGACGTTTCTAGTGATTGTGAGGTTAATTTTCTTTTCTCCCTTTGAATGTGTACTTTATGAGCTTTCAGATTTATCCCCAAGTTACTCAAAATACATACGACTCTAGGTATGCCTCTCAATTTGCTTCTACACAATTGACTTTTTGACATTGATTGCATAGGTTCTCCTAAATAGGAAGACTTACAGCTTAAATTGTCATGAAGTATGTATCTATAGAAGACTAAAAATATTTCTTAAGCACCTTTTTTCTTACAACAACTCTTAAATCTGTTAACTGTTATAGTCGCCCACCGTAAAATACCCATTAAAAAAAAGTCAGTCTTCATCGTCACAGTCCATAAATCTTCACCCATACCAGTACAACTGCAGAATTAAATGAGCAGTACATTTGTGTGCATGTGCCTTTTAATCTTACTCAGTAGATTTCACACAGCTTCTGTGAAAACCTCTGTCTACGTGAATCACGGAATGCTAACATTCTGAAACAAGCAGAGAACTTATCTTCTGTAGGATGTTATTTGTGAAATTTTTATCTTTTTACATAGAAAGAATTTATCACAACAGTGTGCAAAAGAATTAAACACTATATTCTGGACAAATTCCAGTTCCGTTCACTGTGTCTTACTTAGATTCTCCAAATAACGAAAGCATGCGATAATGTGGCAGCTCAGAAGACGCTACATATGCCAGAATGCCAAAGAGCCTTTCCGCCATTACAATATCAGTTTCAGTAACCTGTGAGGGAAGGGGGAGACGGGGAAGAAAAAAGAAGCTTAAGTTTCAAAATTGGCATATTCATATTTCATTACATATGTACATTGAGAATTAACTGAAATTTGTTATGCAGAACACTGCACACAGATCTGTTCCAGGCATTTCTTCAAAATGTAGATTTGCTTTTACTGGCACTTCAAATGTACTTTAAGAGAAACCAAATGAGGTACTGGTGGTTGTTTTATTTCCTGTAATTCTAGAAACTTTAATGTATACACATGCTACCCTGTGCTTCATGATAGTCTTAATGAAATGAGGAATTTTCTAAAAATTCCTTACATTGAGCATCTGAAGGCCAGACATATTAATTCTGGTCCATACTGCGTGCACTTACAGAAGGTCTACTGGAAAATTTCACATCAAGTTATGTTGGAGAAATGAAAAGATTCTGGGCACCCATGTGAAAAGGTAAGTTACAGTCTCTCTCATCTTGGCAGCATCATACAGAAAGATTTATAGAAAGAGGCTTTAGAGAAGAAAAAAAAAAAAAAAGAGTATTTTCTCTGCATTTTTTGACGGTCAAAACCAAGTGTTCCTCCATTATACTGCTCTAAATATCACTCATACTGTTGTGTCAACAATACGTTACAGATGTCTCTAACTCATTTTCAACGGTTGAAAAATTTTCAGGATTAAGTTCACACACTTCAATTTTGTATAAAGAAGGTGGAAGGGGTTTATTTTTTTGGTGGTGGTTGTTATTGGGTTTTGTTTGTCTTGGCTCATAACGTCTAGAGACCATGGCCTGTGTTTCTCCTGCCCTGATGGCCAGACTATGAACTGCTATCAACTGCCAAAATTTTGCTGGCACAGTTTCTAGACTCCTGGCTTTCCAGTGAGCGCAGAAGAAAACTTTATGATCATCTAAATGTGACCTGGACAACACAGGACAGCAAAATTCACTCAGTGACTTCTTACCTTCTGGATCAAATTTAATTTCTGTTCATTTTAGAACATATTTTTGGAAAGCAACCCACTATTAATGCAACTTCAATACTCACAATATTTACTAAGTACTAAGTACTTCCAGGCCATTTTTGTGTTCTGCATTATTCAAATGTGTAAGTGAAATGGAATTTTGATCCAAATTAATGTAATTTTATTATATTCTTGTTTAATGTTTATAGATGATAGAATCTACCCTTGTCTAAAGTATACTGCAACAGCATAATGCAGGGAGAAATTCACCAGAGAAAACAGGTCAGGAAGTTAGAAATGTAAAGTCAATTCCATTTTCAGTGTTTAGATTTACTCATTTTCACTTAAAATTAAGAAAGTCTTGCTAAGTAGCTTAAGAGGAGACGACCTCACTAAACAGTCTGTTAACAGAAGCAAGGTCTAAAACAAAAAGTGCAGAAGGCAGCTAGGGGAACAAAGACCACTGCAGGCAGAAAGGTCTGCTGGAGAAATAAGTTATTTTAATTTATCTATTTATGTTAAGAGAAGCATACGGACCAGGTCAGAGACAGCACTGCTGAGTACACTCTCTAGTTGACAGAAATTCATGTTCTCTATCTTGCTCCAGTAATCACAAAAAGATTATAACGGTAATATCCCATAAATGCAACTCTATTGTGCCTGCTTCTTGCCAAGTACAGAAGACAGGCACCAATTCAGTAAATGTGATGCATCTGTTAACACTGTATGCCATACCACTTGGTGTAAAGCATTTTGCAGAGTTTAGTCACCTCAAACCTTGACAATTCTTAATTAATCTGAGATTACTATCACTTGGAAAAACTTCAAATAGTGTATCTCGATTAAGAGAATTTGCATCTTCAAAGTTACTAAATTTAATAGTTTGATAAGAGAACACTGTTGGGGCAGATTAACACTCAGCTTCTAGGCTAGAATGTAACTTGAATAGAAGGGGGAGGTTGGGGAAAAAATAAATTAAAAAAAATGTATAAGGAAGCTCAAGTTTGAAAGTGCTAGAGCTATGCGATTTATTTAGTTAATTCACTTAGTACCTATTGCTTTTACTCCCCAACTATATATACACACCTCAGAGCTATCAACACAATAGTCTTCGCAAACATTGCACAGAAATGAACCATAAGAGCAGAATATGCCCATTTCCTTTTCCATCATCTGAGACTCTTACTTAGGGCTGATCTAAGGTCAGAAAGCACCCTTCAGGGGGGTTGTATTCTTGACATTGAAACAGGATTTTCTATCAGTGATTTTAAAAGAAAAGGTAATATACATCTGCAAAGACAGATACCACGGCTTCTGCTGTAGACTAATGAAAAGCAGTGATCAGAGTTCATCGCTTTCTTCTGCTTGGCTATGACACTAGGAAAAAAATTCTGGGCACATCTTCACAGAGTGGTCTGGCTAAAAAGTTTGTCAAGGACAAAAGTGTTCTTCAGTCATATATATTTAAGATTTGATATACGTCCTACATAAAAAGCAGGCCATGCTACATGTAAATCCATTTACTAAATTCATCACAAAGCACTATGAAACTCAAATTTTTCCTTCAAAGACTGAATTTGTTGGCCTTGAGATCATAACAAATAGTCTACTCAAATAGTTGTGCTATTTGCTTTTTTTTCTTTCTTTCTCCATGAAGCCCACCCACACAGGTAAGATTTATCTCCTATTTTCTTTTAATCTGAATCACTAGTGTTGATTTTAAAAATATGATGCAGTAAAAAAAGGAAAACTTTAAACCTGCATTCAACCTTTTTTTTTTTAAATCAAATTTGATTGTCATTTTTTGTAAAATACTAAATTCAAAGTTGTTTTAAAGTTCTCACGGGATTATTGACTATCACTTTTTTTCTTTTCAAGATACTGTGCTGTTGGAGTGAGTCACATTTGCCTTCATCTTTCCTCATCCTTTTTCTGACAGTTAACTCAGGTAAGCTCTTAACCCACTCCTGCTCTTTGTAAAAATATGCATTATTTGCACAGAACTAAAACCAAGTAAACCGTAACATTCATGCTATGGCTGTTGCAGATAACATGTAAAATATCTGTTCCAAAACATAGGATGATGAGGATGACCAAATTAAAATATCAGATCTAAACACCAAAGCTATGTGTTATTTTTGCTTTAATTATCTTCCATAACACCACTTAAACTAATTTAGCATTTAAAATTGAATGCACATTCAAACGTTGTCTTGCGTCATAACTATTCCCACTCTTTATGATCAAAGGTCAAGTATAAAATAACCATTTTATACATTTGAATAAATTCACTTTCAGTTGACATAAAAGGGAATACAAAGTACAAAGAATAGGAATAGTGTCCTAACTTTCTATTTAAACATAAAACACACACCAACAAAAATCGACTCACTAATGATCTTGTACACAGCAAGCAGAAAAAAAAAGGAAAAAAAGACTTTTTCCTGTGATAGGCTTAAAGAAAAAAATATGATTTTAGCTATATTTTGTAACAATCAAAAATATAAACCATCATACTCTGTAAGCTACTAAGTAGTCTGTCAAATGCACATTTTTGCAGAAGTATTCTATGTCAGCACTGTGATTCTTTTGAACATGTGCTTCTTAAAATCAAGTAAAATTGAGTAGTTCTTTAATTTCTTTAAATTTTAAACAATATTTTTTAGAAACACATGCAGAAATAATAATAAAAAGTCTTCCCTTCAGGTAAAGCCCAACCACTCAGGTATAGATTTAGACTGCCATTTGCAATTGCGAACATCAGAGACAATACAACATTTTTATGTCACCTAAGAATCTTATCAACTTTGCTAATTGTAACACAGTGCAGTTGAATACACAACACAAGAAATTACATGGTGCAGTCTACTTAAATTTTTTTCCCACCCTAATATTGAAAGGGCATTGACAATGTTCTGCTCATTTTACTAACAATTCATCCGCTTTTTTAAAAACAATGCTAATTTACCTTGTAAGACCAATAGTAAGAAGGAAGCAACACTGTCCTACCTTTACTCCATTTATCTTCTGTAGATTAAAACGGTTCAGTCTGAACAGAACATAGTATTTCCACAAAGAAAAGTTGACAACTGGGTTTCCCTGATGATCAACTGTCAACTGTTCAATGCGATGCATCTGGGCTAATGCATTGAATTGCTGCAACATCACAAGATTGGTCTCCTTAAACTTCAGGTGCTTAAAAAAAAAGTCAAACCATAAATTGAATGAGGAAACAATAAAGACTGAATACAATGATTACTATTCTGTGCCACTTAAACAATTTTCAAAATCAAATAAACAGTCTTATGTGACAAAGCAGCTGAGCTCACTTCATCTAAGGTCTTTGTAGGAAGACACATCAATGTATCAACCAATTTGTGTATTACATATATTTATAAATGCCAACATTACTAAGCAATTTATGAAGCCTTTAATAAGAGCATTAATATTTTCAACGTCACAAAAAGCAGTGATATTACTTGAGCAATGTTTATTTTAATTCTGCAAGTAAAGCAACTGCAACATCCACACATAATAATAAGTACAATGCATGTTTTTAAACATTCTGCTTTTTTGGCCATAGCATGCTGGCATTAAGCCATACCCTGCCATATGCTAGTGCTCCTGTGAACACAGTATATTTGGCTACACAGTAGCATTATTGAGGGAAGGGGAAGGAGGAGGAAAAATTGACGGTAAAGATAAATATTCAGTTGAAATTCTGCTATTCCCCACAAATTCCCCTCACCTCACAATGAACCAACTGTTTCACTGAGACAGATAAATTTGTGGGGAACTTAAGACAAATGTATATATCCCAACTAAACCATTACGTTCTATTATACTCAAAAGCTTAAAAAGAACCAGGGAACTCAAGAGGCATATCATCTAAGTAACAAGCTGCTTTACGCATGGTTGTCACTATTTTAGCATTTGCTTCACAATGACAGATTCAAATATCCAAGACAAAAAAAAAAAAAAAAAAAAAAAAAAAAAAAAAGTACTAAAGGGACATCTCATTCATGTTGTTTTGCTTCACCAAGAACTGAGGAATTCCATGAGCTGATTTAACTAGCTAGTTCCTTTGAGTCTTACCTCTCTCTTTTTATTTTAACAGCTATTTGATCTTTGAACTCAGAACATGAATGGTCTCTGATACCACGGAACCATAATAATATTGTAGAAAAACAATATTGTATTTACACATCAGTTTTGCAACTTAGAAATGATCAGCTTAGGTCAAAGGAATTAAGAGAAATAATAACAAGTTTGAAAAGAGAACACCATCCTGTGTGAGAACCTAAGTTAAAGTCTTGATTTTTAAGAAGTTAAAGTTAGTGTTATAGGGTAACACCAAGCAAATACATAATTCACAAATGCATCCATTTATATGAAAGCACTCAAGGGTGACTATGCCAAATTAAGGTTCTACTAGAGAATACATGCTCCACAGCTGTTCACACAGCTGAAATCTGAGGCATTCTTACCACCAAATTAGGAAATTTTGTCTTCAGCTTTGTTAGCACTTGAACAATTTCATCAAATTCTATGAATATGAAGGAGACTGTGACAATAATTCCAGCTGTTTGAACATTCCAGTTTCGATCCAGGCATTCCAGCGCTCCAGCACCATACAAGCAAAGAGTGTCTCCTTCCACTTCCACCAAATGAGACTCGAGAACAGACAAGCCTTGTACTGCACTGCTCAATATTGTGTCAAGAGACCTGTGGAGGAAATAAAAATGCAGTAATATAAGTCAGATGATTTTGAGATAGTAACATCATTCTATTGAATGACAGTCTTTTCATTTACCAAAGCCCAACAGTCAAATATGATTGCACTTCTCAGCATTCGCTCATTTGCAGTACCCAATCTCATTCAAAAACATGAAGGGCTGGAAAATCCTCCTTCCATCAAGTAACGTTGCAAATGTTCTACCTCTTTGGCAGATAGGCTCTGGGTGCATTTGAGTTGTACGGGGGGGTGTGGATTTTTTGCATAAATTAATTAAGAAATCACTCATACTTAAAAGTCTGCTTAAAAATCTTAACTCAGAATGCTAACTTAAGATATTTTGTGTTGCTTTAGATATCTAAAACCAACTTCAAACAATGTTTTATTCAAGCAAAGTCATCTTTGCGTTCTGCTTACTATACGAAACGTGAAAGTTATGGCATGAGTAATTGCTTTAAGAACCGACAGTTGTCAAAACCAATCCAGGATAATACCGCTCACAGTACTGAACAGTTATTTTTATTCTTGAACATGAGAATCACTCCTTCCTCAAACCCATATGTCACAATATCTGATCAGGATATTAGGATTCATTATTCTGCTTAACAATGAGAATAAACGTATGGCTTATTATCCTTGTTTAATCCTTAGCCTTTCTTTAAAATAACGTCAGCTTTCCAATTCACAAGAGTGATTTTAAAATTAAGCAGTAAGTCCAGGTACTCTCGACTCTCATCTCCTTGCATCTTACTTCCAACATGATACACTCAGCTGACTACCTGAAGTGCACAGAGAATTCAAGATGAGCACAAATCACAGGTTTAGAAAGTTATGTGATGATTGTTACTATTTTATTCTTTACTACCTTCCCAGTACTTTTAATATATTTTGCTTTTTTGACTACAAGTGATTACTCAATTGATGTTTTCTTGACAAAATCAACCAGAACTCCCAGATTTCATTCTTGACTGGAAATATGGGGAGACCATCACTTCATATGTGAAGCTGTAACTACTTATCTATGCTGAATTTCACCTGTCATTTTATTGCTTAGCCACTCATCTTGAGAATATCTTCTGAAATTCTTCACTATTGGAAAACATAGTAGTAGATCAATGTCAATTTTAACTTAAGGGGGTTAAAAGAGCAATAAGGCTTCAAGGCAAAAAATGGCAGCGTATCTACAGCTTCTTAATTTTAACACACATTGCCACATCTTCATTAATCTCTTTAAACTAACAAAAACCAGTGATAAAGATCGCTACCATGCTTTCATTTCTCTAACCAGTCATGAAAAAAAAGAGAAAAATTCCAAGCTTTCTCCAACTCAAAAAACTAAATGCACTGAAATTTGCATAAAAGAATTATAATGTATGCAAATAAAGCACATGGCTTATTTTGTTAACATCTCAGGATGACCAAAATGTACTATTTCATTAGAGTAACCATTTTGATTTCTACAATGTATTCTACAAATCTTAAAACTACAAAAACTTTCACAGGAACACGGAAACAGATTTTATGCATTATATTTTATGATTGTAGATTTGACAAAAGAATCCTAACATTTGTGGTCAAGAAACTACAAGGAAAAAATCAGCTTCAGTCACTGTATCCAGCGTAAGCAGAGATAGCATTAGACCAAGATCCTTCCGACAGCTCCACAGAAAAAGTCTTAACATGTTACTTAAAAACATGATTTCCCAAGCAGTAAGAATCTGTTCATTAACAGGACAATGCTTAAGCCACCATAGTTACATTGGCTTGGTTGTGGGGGATGATTACTAACACCAAATTAAACTGTGGGGAAACCAACAAGGCAAGAAAGCAGTGACTAAACATGTTTCAAAAGATGCAGCACTTGACTAGAGACAAAAATCAGGTCTAGCCAATCACAGAATCTCAGAGTCATAGAATAGCAGGTTGGAAGGGACTTTGAGGATCAGCTGGTCCACCCTTTCTTGGGAAAAGCACGGTCTAGACAAGACGGCCCAGCACCCTGTCCAGCTGAATCTTAGTGTCCAGTGTTGGGGAATCCACTGCTTCCCTGGGGAGATTATTCCAATGGCTGACCTCACTGGGAAAAATTTTTCTCTTGTGCCTAATTGTAATCTGCCCAGGAGTAACTTGTACCCATCACCCTTGCTCTTTTCCATGTGACTCCTTGTAAAAAGGGAGTCTCCATCTTCTTTGTAGCCACCCTATAAACACTGGAACGTGGTGGTAAGGTCTCCCCTAAGCCTTCTTTTCTCAATCTCAGACTGAAACTCAGATGGGTTCTGTCTGTGAGGCAAAGACTTCCTGACTGTACCTCACACTTCCAGCGTTGATCAGGCACAGCAGGAAGCTGTTCTCGCTACTGAATTCATGCAGACTATTTTTTTAGGCTTTTGCCTGAGCTAGCCAGGTTGAAAGTGTGCTAGTTGGTTTTAGGCATCCCCAGGCACATGTCGTTCATTCAGTTCAGCATTTGGTTTCTACGTTATATAGAATGCCTGATGGCCAGCTTTTAGATGCAAATAAGCAAGTCACAAAATTTATCACAAAAATATACAACTACTTTTTAAACCAACAATACAATAGTTATCTTAGGAATAAAACTAAGCCAAAGAACTCTTATTGTTAAAATAGAAAGGGTATGAAGGCAGTGCAATAAGAGAGGCTGCTGTTCAAAGTAAGAACATAAATTTAACAGTTTATGAAACCTCTTGATACACAAAGATGTTTGTGTATCAAACGCTTGTACGTCCCCATTGTTGCCTTCAGTTGAAATGAACAAAATTTAAGCTGTCAAGGAAATGACCAGCCTTAAGAAGGCTCAAGAATTCATATTTAACATTTCTTGCAAATACGAAGTCCTCCCTAATTTAGCAAAAATCACATAATAATTTAGCTTGCACTTCTTTAGTCAATGAATTGCTGTTATATTAATACTTAATATATATTACTTATTACTAATGGCCAACAGGTTTAATCATGAAGTAAAATATGTTTTCAGGATCAATTTGGATATATTATTTTTGATAATGAAATACAGTAAGATCTCAGAGGTGAGAAGTAGTAACCTGGCATATAAGACATGAACGAGAAGTTATTTCCCAATAAAATACCTGCTTTCTTCAGGAAATACATATGTAGCACTGCCATTGATCTGACAGGGCTCGTTATCTTTATCTTGGTTTAAAGAAGCCACAAGAGCTATTCGATTCTGCTGTATCTCCCACTGACGAGCAATATTACAAATTGTTAACCGTTTCTTCTCCTGAAAAAAGATATAAAAGACGTAATAAATTATGACAGTGCAGTATCAGCACACTTGTTTGTCCTGGAAGAAATATGCTGCTTAATCAAAACATTTTAAATTGAAGAAATGATACAACTGATTGGTGGTTATGCATTAAAATCAGTGCATGATTCCAGTGCTCTTTTGCATAACTGTCAGCGAACAACGATTTCTCAAAATTTGCAGTAATAGAAACAAGAAAAGTAACACGGAAATCCACAACTTGTAAAAGAATAAAGTTAAACTATTTAGTTTGGATAGCCACAGAAGTCTTATTTTGACAGTCTGGAGCTCCTTGTAATACTCCTCCCACAAACCAGGGCAGACTGCTTGTTCTTTCCTCCATGCTGCTAGAGTGACCCCAGCACTTCAGCTAAGACAATTACACAACTGCTGTAGGTCTCAGTCATTGCAGCATACTTTGCGTGGGGGGATAAAAGTTATCTTCTGAAAAACGGAAAAAGTCAATTTTATAAAGACAGAAACTGAAGTTACCTTTGTGAGAGACACGAGGACTACAACAGATCTAAGTTCAAATATTTAGTAATAGTTTTCCAAAGTAGTTTTTATATTCTAGAGAGGTCTTGTCAATGAACCGGTATTTCGAAAGCACTTTTCTTGTATAGTCATGCAAATCAGGTCAATCACCTACGATTCTACAGGCAGGTTATTACTCCATTGTATCATACAGATGTAAACGATTTAATAGACCAAATTCAGCCTACTTTAAAAGGTAAAAGAACAAGGTGCTTTGTAAGACCTCATGGACTGGCAGCTGAACTCACATTCAATGAAAACCACACAACGTAATACCAAAAGGTAAATTCATTGTTAGTTTCACTTCATTTGTTTTTTCTGAACCATATCTAATTCTCTGGGAGTCAACCATCTCAGTGTCACACTGCTCTCAATGAACCTCAAACAGTGACTTAGAATTTCTGAGAGAAAAATATTACAGAGGAGCTTAGCATAAAACAAATTTACATCCACAAAATGTGGAGAAAACAGAATATCAAAACCAATGATCTCTTAGTTTATACTCTAACTTGCTGCTGTTACAGAAATGTAGCTTCCAAGTCCATACAAAGTAACAACCTTAATTTAAAGCTTCCCACCCTTAAGTAGTATTTAAAAACCGTGATATTCTAAGAATCCTTTAATTTCTCTCATCTACTTCAGAACATCACTACTGGAAGAGAGGGGGAAAAAGCAAACCTGAATTTGCCCTACATAGTATAAACAGCAGTTCATAGGCTGCCTGTGTACTTGTCACTAATGTTACCCCTAAACGGGAAGGACAAAAGGTGCATACTCTTTGGGTATACTAATGAATATTCTGCTCCAATGCTATGAAATTTTGAATTGAAACAGCAAGTATTTGTTAGCTTCAAGTTGCAACAATCTCAAATCTGGTCTAAAAGGATCCTGGGCAAGGTAAATACCTGTTAACAATTATTTCCTGAGAGCATAAGCCAACCACCTTTATCAGTTTCTTAGCAGTGTTAAAAGGCTGCCTTAACATCTTAATTTTAAATATCATTACATTAGTTCCTGCCTCCTTTAGAATGTTTTGTTAGGCTGATTAAAATAGAAGAAAACACCATAATATTGATTAGGATTTAGAAGGCTGTACCTAAACTCCTGAAGGCTAGAAAGGCTTTATTTGTTTTTAAATGGAACATTTACATTTCTGTTTTAAGACAGACTCTATGCCTGGGGGACAAAAAAAAAAAAATCAATACAAAGCACAAGGTTTTATTATAGCCCCTTTTTTCAAACCGGAAACAAAAAAGATAATTTATTTGATATGTCTATGAAGAAAGGCAGGGGTCCAGAGTAAACCTAATTTAACACTTTCAGTTTTATAATTTGAAATTAATTTAAAACTAAATTTGACCTATACTCACTATGCTCCTAGGTTTAACCCATGAAAGCAAAACGTGACAGTTACCATCATGTTCTTACACAACTCCTTTCACAGTGGGCGAGTTGTATATATCACTGCAACGAAGTTCACTAACAATGTTCCTCACAGTACTCGGTGTTGGAGATGTGAAGTGTAAAGCACTGCAAATGAATATTTCTTTGAAAAACAGAAAATAGTAGATCAACAAAAAAGCAAGCATTTCATCACCTGTGACTGCTAATTCGTGGAGCCTCGGTATTTCCTTAAGACTAAAGAACAACTGCATCTAAACGTATCACAGTAAAACATTCAATAGCTACATGCACATCACCCACGCTGCAGCTATTATACTCAGAGCAAATACCATGCTCTGTTTCAGTGACTGATAACGCAGAGGCAGACCTACTAGATTTTTAAACGTTGATAAAAACTATGTCCATAGTTGGCTATAACTGACACAAACCACACAGAAACTACTTCAAAAATTCTCTTCTTCTACAAGTTTTTCAGTTTTGAAGAGCTCAAAACTCTACTGCACATTCAGTTTGTCCGAAGAGTTAAGATGTCATCTGGTTAGAGAACACTAAGCACTCAACATTTACAGACTTCGGTGATGACTGGGCTCCATGTCAAAGAAAGCAGGGGAAGTTGAAATAATCAGCATTTTCTTCCAATCACATTTAACAAATTCGGTTTGTTCTGGAGGGCAAGGGTCTCCTTACAACCGCAACTACCATACAGCTCTACTGCTTTGTTAGGCCTCAGCTGTGGGATGCTGGATTCATCAGAGCGTTGAAAACTTCTAAGAATTCATTTTACAAAAATCTAATTTTAGAAGTGTGAAGATTTGGCAGCAAAAGAAAGACTAGGGAAAATGTTGGCCTGCTGCTGAATGAAGTCAGTGCCCTGGTGATGGAGGGTATGGAGAAGGTGGAGTTGCTGAATGCCTTCTTTGCCTCAGTCTTTACTGCTAAGGCCAGCCCTCAGGAATCCCAGACCCTGGAGGTAAGAGATGAAGTCTGGAGAGAGGAGGGCTTTCCTTGGTCATGGAGGATTGGGTTAGGGATCTTCTAGGCAAACTGGACACTCACAAATCCATGGGCCCCACAAGTGCTGAGGGAACTGGCAGGTGTTATTGCTAAACCGCTCTCCATCATCTTCGAAAGGTCATGGAGGACAGGAGAGGTGCCTGAGGACTAGAGAGAAGTCAATGTCACTCCAATCTTCAAAAAGGGCAAGAAGGAGGATCGAGGAAACTACAGACCAGTCAGCCTCACCTCTGTTCCTGGAAAGGTAATGGAACAGCTCATTCTGGATGTCATTTCTAAGCATGTGGAGGAAAAGAAAGTTATTGGGAGTAGTTAACATGGATTCACCAAGGGGAAATCACGCTTGACTAATCTGAGAGTCTTCTATGATGGCATGACTGGCTGGG